CATCTCGCATCGCGTCTCTAAAAATTCAATAAAATCAGACAAATTTGATAATTTTTGTGATACGATTTTTAATTCCCAATTCCTTTTTGTTACATTATCCAACCGAGTTGATGCTAAATATAACAACAGTGTGGACACACTGTTGTTATATTTGGCCAATAGACAAGTGGGACCACTTGTCTATTGGCTCCTTGAGTTGCTCTAAAATTCGAGTATGGTTTTGTAGCCCATCTGCTAACGCACGTAAAGACACAGCAGAGTCTTTTGTTACCATTGGTAAATTAAATAATTGTTTAACATGATGATTGATGATCAAACTGGAATTATGAAATCGTTTCTTTAATAAATTTAATACAATTGAATAATTTTCTCGCGTAACTTCAAACGAACTAATGTATTCCTTGGCCCCACCTGTCAACGCAGACTGCAGATAATGGAATTTCGTAATAGTATCAAGACTCGCGTTTCTATCTACCATTGCCATGAATGAATCATAAAATCATGGCCATTTTTCGTAACTCCCGTTAAAATTAGGAAGAGTCATGATTGGTAATCGCGCATGTGATAAACCCCCACTGTTATTATTAACTGTCATGGTTGAATCTGAATTCGCAACGTTACTTCGCTTTTCCTCGTAAAAAAGAAGAAGAAGGCGTTTTCAAATTGCTCCCTCTCCGCCAAATCGGGTGCCGGCAATAGAGCATCTATGTCGTTTTGTACATTATCGTATTCTGACCATAATAAATCTAATTTTTCAATTCTCGACTCTAATTCAAAAATTGTTTCGTCCGAAGGTATATAAGTGTCAATAAAATTCTTAAACCGAGTTGCTTTACTTTTTAGTAATGTACGTTTTTTTATGTCTGCTAAATCCGACATTTTCTTTTTATTTAATTCTCTACCTAACAAATACAGTTCAAATGATGCACTTTAAATACAATAAAATTTATAAGATAGGCTTACCAAATTATTCGGCTTTTTACAATTGTAGCACGATGATTACCAATACATTTCTGGCGTCCAAACGGTTGGAGTAGAGCGTCGCTGAACTCGTTGATGATGAATGTTTCTCCTGATGAATAGTTCCTTGTATAATGTGACCAGTTCCCAGTTTTGTTCCTTGCAGTTGGAAACCTCTCCAACCAAATTGTTTCCCCTTTTGTTTTTGATAAAATTTCCTTTGAAGTCGTTAATGTTTAAAAGATTTTTGAGATATCTCTAAGCCTTGGTTGATTTGCCTCGTGGTTAATGGCGTCTCGTTTCCTTTATTTGTTTCACTATGTACTTCCTTTTTAGTTTGTTTTATCATACTTTTCCATTGATAAATAATCCGGCTCGAAGGACGAAAAAATTTGCACTTAGCGAATTTGTGTGAAAAAAAGAACTGAAGCAAATTCCAACTGAATATTAAATTTATTAAATTTTATTTAAAAATTAATTTTTTTTATTAACTTTATTTTTATTTCAGATTACAAATTTATACCTGAAAAATGTGTAAATTAATAAATAAATGTCATAAAATACCACAAACAATATTCCGAGATATTCAAAATTTTATAAAATTAATATTAAAATTAAAAATGGCGTATCTGAAACAATTTTTGAATTTAAAAAAAAAACTTTAGGGACAGAAGTCTTTTATAAAACATATATGGGTGATTCTTCTGAAAGTGGGCAATTTCATGTCTTTGAATTATATCTTCTAAACAACTTAACATTTAAATATTAACATTGGACAAACATATTATTTAAACATCACTTATTATACCCTTTATAAAAAACGATAATTTTTTAACACAAATTTAGTGGAAAACAACATTTAACAACTGGAAAACATCAATTCAATATGTCTTTACCTCTGAGTACCAAACTTTAAAGTACTATTACTTATAAAAAAAGAACTATCTTTAATTATTCAATAAATATTATGAAAGATTAACTCAAAAGCTTCAATTTTTATCGATGAAATTTTTTAATACATCAATATAGTTATTTATAATTATTAAAATATAAATGTCTTTAAAAATCTCCATGCTGGCACGACAAAGGATAAACGTGTTTAATAAACTATAAGACGTGCACTTTTTATATAAAAATCATTTGGAAATTAAAGAAAAAACATGTCACTTTTCAAATCTCCAAGAGAAATTGGAAAATAAATTATTGGTTTTGGTAATAATAATAATAAATTATATTTTTCATATTTTTAAGAAAAAACACTAGAAAAACACTGCGTATTTTTATTCATTCCTTTGTCGTGCGCTGTCAAAACTTTAATATTTCAATATAAATATCAATAAAAAACGGATGAAAACTTACAGTTTGGTAGGACAAAAGTGTATACCTAGCCATTTTTTTATTTACTTTTGTTTAAAATATGTATTAATGGATTTCGTACAAATTTCCATTGTCGTGGAGTACTTTGTCGTGTCAAAACATTTGCACGTGGTAGGTGCGAAACAAGTAAAAAGTGTGCCCGTGCCTAAAACTTTTTTTAAAATAGGTAATAAGGGGCCGTACACATAATACGTCACGCGATTTTTGACCATTTTAGACCCCCCCCTCCCCCCATGTCACACACTGTCCCATACATTAGCGCCATTTTTTCTATAGGTCGTCACAAATGTATTGACCCCCCCCTCCCCCTGTTCGCGTGACGTATTATGTGTACGGCCCCTAAAGTTGAAATTTATCTAATCTTTTGATATATTTTTAAATATAATTTTAAAAATGATAAAAATAAATCATTTAATTCAATTAATAATACCTATATAGAAGAAATATGAATCTCAGTGCCCCTCGATAATACGCCTCTGATGAGGTTAGTTTTCCTGTTTACTTTTCACATCTCATTTCATTTACGCGAAAAGTGCTAATTACACGAAAACTAATGTTTATTAATAAATGTAAATTAAAATAAATATAGTTGATATGGATTGTCTAACATAAAAGAATTATTAAACAAACAGAAAAAAGCAAATGTCGAAAAAGAGCGACGTGAAAAAATTCAAAATGATCCTGGTGAAATTTAAATAATTTTAATATTATTTTTAAACTTTAAATAGTTTTGTAGCGTACCTACTTCAAGTATAGTTTATTTAAATACCAATGAACAGTAATTAATAAAAGAAAGTTCAATTTTTAAACATTACAAAAAAAAATTTTATCAACTTAAAAGTGACCGTCTTTTGGAGAATCACCTATATATGAGGCATTATTTCTCAAACGTCCCAGCCCAAAAAAAGACTTGGGATTGGCTTCATATTTTGGGAAATTGTTATCCTATTTGAAAGTAATAAATTTGCAAAATATTAGTTCTTTTAAAAAAAATTCTAGAAAGTAGTGGGGGTTGAAGTTTTGACATTTTCAGTAACACTGTGATTTTCAAAACCATATATTTTTTATAATACTTTACCGATCCTAATGTTTCTATAATGCATTTAAAGCATTTTTCATGTACTTTCTAAAAATTTTACAAAAAAATTTTTTAAAAAAACTTTTAACCCTCTTTTTTTAAAAAATAAAGTTTATTTTTTAATTTTGACCCAAATGGGTATTTTAAAAAATTTTTTTTTTATTTTTATTGGAAAGCTGACATTTTTTCCAAAAAAAACATATATGTTTCATAGTGGGATGGCCATAAATTTAGAAGATATTTAAAAACAAACTAAACGGCGCGCCCGCGTCGCTGTACGTTACGCTGTCGCTGCGCCGTTGAACGACACAAATATTACTGTTTCCTCTTCATCTGCTTCAGTTAAAGCTCTCTGCATTCTACAGGGTTGAGACTGTCATAAAAATAATGCCTGCATTACTGTTACTAAAAAAATTTTAAATAATTAATTTTGAAAACAGAAGGGTAAAGCTTACAAAATTTTTGCCTGAACAATTTTGAATAAATAATAAAATTATAATTATAAATTTAATTGACGAGATAATAAATCATTTTTTTATTTTTTACTCGGTTTTTTTAGAAACTCCTGGAGTAATTCTTTTTACTTTTTTTAGGAAAATTATTAAATTCTAAAATTCCACAGTCTTCAATATTCTCCAAATAATCGAATTTTGACTGCAAAAGTTCTTTTTGACTAGACGCTAAAATATTGTAAAGAAACCCAAACATTTTACAGTGGCAAAGACATCTACGTTGAGACAGCAAAAAATATTAAAGAACAAATTTGATAATGCTCAAACTATACAAGGGATTTGATAATTTTCCTAAAAAAGTAAAAAAAATTACACCACCCCCTTCGAAGTTTATTTAAATTTTTTTTAGCACTTTCAGGCAATTGGACTTTTATGTCAGACAAAATTTACAACAGATTTGTGAGAATCGGTTGCATGAAATATGTAAAAAAGGACAGCAAAAATTTATTTTCATTCATTTCTATTTTCTACCTTCTGCTTTAAAGCTGTCATTCTTTCCGTTCTCACATTTATTCCGAGTTGGACTGAATTCGTGCTGACTGATTGGTCTGTAATATTACCGTGAAAGATTACTGGCCAATTAGAAAGCTCTGTTTTTCTGGTGTGCGCAGAACAGCGTGAAAAGGTTTCGTGTGCTCACAGTCGTACCTGGCATAGTTTGATCGTGCTCTTAACACTTTGACAACCAAATAAAAACATAACCTCGGTAAATTCTGTTGCATACTTCTACCTGATTTATTAAAAGAACATTAAAGAAGAAGAAATGTATTTTGTCTGAAGGTTTAAAGAATAAAAAAATGGTACGTTAACTTAAACAATATTAAGTTTGGTTATGATTTGTATTTATTGTAAATTGATTTCTTTAAAGATTGTTTGTTTTGTTGCATGAAATATTGTTACTTTTTTATGAAGTGTATTGTTTTTTTTGAATGACCTCTTTTTTTGGTTTGATGTAGGCTAATAATGTGATAAATAATGGTGCTGGTTCAAAACGTAGTGCGAATTCAATACGAGATATTAGCACGTATTTTATTAAAAAACAAAAAGTTGATGAGAATTCTACTGCAACATTGATGGAGGATTTTTCAGTGAAAACCGAGATTGTCAATGATGAAGCTTTTCTTGAGCATGGTGATTTAAAGTTGGTTTCCAATATGCCTGAGCAAGAGGTGCAGTCAACATTATGTGAATTATCAAATGACTCGTTGCACTCTGATTTTTCTTCAGATATTGGGAATTATATTGGTCAAAACATGAATGAATTATCTGATTATACAAAACATTTATTGCTTGAACGACACTGGATGCCATCATCTAATTATGTTTTTCCACATAACATTGTAAAAAAACTAGGAAAGCCATGCAAAAAGTTTGCTCAAAGATCTCATCTTGAGAAATTTCATTGGCTTGTGTTATCTCATAAGGATCAAGGGCTTTATTGTGTATACTGCACATTGTTTGCTATTACTGGAAAAGATTTTGCTAGATCACACCTCGGACGACTTGTTAAGGAACCACTAAAAGTTTTTGATCGTTTAATGGGGAAAAAAGGTATATTAATACAACACGAAAGCAAGCAGTACCATCGGATGTCAATTGAAATAGGGATAGCTTTTTTAATGAGTTATAAAAATCCTGAATTTGATGTTGCTAATAAAATTGTCACTTCACGAATGGCTCAAACAGCTGAAAACAGAGAACGCTTACGACCAATTATAAAAACAATAATATTTTGTGGACATCAAAATATAGCTCTGCGCGGGCACAGAGACAATGGTCCGTTGCTCACTATCAATAATGATGAAAGTGTAGTCGCAGCTTCAGAAGGAAATTTTAGAGCTCTTTTAAAATTTCGAATTGATGCTGGTGACACAGCACTTCAGAAGCATTTGGAAACTGCCAGCTCAAATGCGACTTATATAAGCAAAACCGTACAAAATGAGTTAATAGACATTTGTAAAGCGGAAATTCGAGAAACTATTTTTCAAAACATAAAAAACGCGAAATTCTTTTCTTTAATGTTTGAAGAGACGACAGACATTTTTCATATAGAACAGCTGAGTTTATCTTTCCGATATTATAAGGATGGCAATATTAGGGAAGATTTTGTATGTTTCTGTGACGCTTACAATATGGTTGGATGTGAAGAAAAGGACAGCGGGAAAGAGCTTCGATTGACAGGAGTCGCATTAGCAAAAATTGTAGAAAGTCTTTGCCATCAATTTGATGTAGATTTGTCTTTCTGCGTAGGGATTTGTACTGATAATTGTTCAGTAATGGCCTCTGAAGCAAAGGGTGCTGTTCAGGAATTGATAAAAAAAGCCAAACATGCAAGACGTTGTCCTTGCAACAATCATATTTTAAATAACTCCTTGTCTGCTTCTTCAAAAGTTGCATCCTGCAGAAATGCAACTGCGACAATGAAAAAAATCGTGGCATTTACAAATGCATCTGCAAAACGCCATCAAGTTTTCTTAGAAGAATTTAACGGTGTAAAACTTCAAAGCATATGTGAGACAAGTTGGGTCGAAAGGCATGATGGCCACTTGAAATTTCAAGGTGATAATCTCGTCAATACTTGTAACGCATTAGAAAGAATATCGACATGGAATGATAGCAAAACTGTAAGCGACGCTTATTCTCTTTTACAAACACTACGCAGTTCCGACTTTATAATATCATCGATATGCTTAAATGATATTAAAGGTACAAAAAAATCGTGCTTACTGCCAGGCAGGCAGGCAATCAGGCAAAATATTTTGATTAATTAACTCATTGTTTTTCATTTTATTCTTTTCAGATAGACTTATTTTGCCTGATCCGAAGTCAATATCGATTCGGATGTCTTGATCATTAATATAATTATGTTTATTTTACGTTCTAGGTACAACCGTTTCACTAAGCCGTTATTTGCAAACTTCATCGTTAGATATGAAAAGAGCCGCAGACGCACTGGAAGACACAATGGACTTGTTGAAGTAAAAACGACAAAACGTAGGAAATGTGTTTCAGCAATTATTTGCAGAATCTCAAGAAGTAGCAAGACAATTAGATGTACAATTAAAATCACCTCGAACTAATGTACGACAAATGCATAGAGCGAATCATCCGGCAGAAACTGTAGAGGCGTATTTTCGTAGATCAATCTACATACCTCTTCTAGATTTCATCGTAAATGATCTGAATTACAGACTTTCTCCTGATGTCTTAGACTTAATTCAGTTAGGAGTATTTTTACCGAAATCGACATACTCTGACCAAGACATTGATACTGTCAAAAAAGTTGTACAAATTTATAAATTTTTTTTTAATGACACTGAAACTTCAATTATTAACGAATATCGACTTTGGATGATTAAATGGAAAAGAGAAATAGAAAATAAATCACCTATCCCCGATTCGGTAGTTGATCTAATAGATCACTGTGACAAGAATTTGTATCCGAACATTAATATTTTCTTAATAATACTGGCTACTCTTCCAGTCAGTGCTGCAACTCCAGAAAGGTCATTTTCAACTCTACGCAGATTAAAAACTTGGCTTCGCGCCTCCATGGAACAAGAGAGATTAACAGGATTAGCTCTTCTCAACATTCATAAAGATTTAACGCTGGACATTGATGAAATAATCAACAAATTTTCTAAAAAGAACAGAAGAATTAACTTTGTCATTTAAATAATAGGTACTCTTTGTTTTGAAAATTGTGACTTATATTTTTCGTTTTATCTATATTTTATGTATTTTCCTTATTTATTTCTAAAAATAGAAATATATGATGTAATTATTTAAATTTAGTTTAATAAATTAATTGTAGTTGTTTTTATATATTCTTGACCAAAGGCCACAACAAAAATAACAACTAATTTAATAAATTAAGTCATTCTTCCGGTAAATTTAATTATTATTTAATTATATATATATATATATATATGACCACGAGCTGACCACCCCCTATTCTGAAACCTGGATCCGCCCCTGTGTTAACTTGGGTTTAAAGTTAAAAGAGTTTTTTTAAAATTTAATTGACGAGATAGTACATAATTTTTTTCATTTTTTACTCGGTTTTTGTTGTTGAGAAACTCGTGGTGTAATTTTTTTTACTTTTTTAGGAAAATTATCAAATCCCTTGTATAGTTTGAGCATTATCAAATTTGTTCTTTAATATTTTTTGCTGTCTCAACGTAGATGTCTTTGCCACTGTAAAATGTTTGGGTTTCTTTACAATATTTTAGCGTCTAGTCAAAAAGAACTTTTGCAGTCAAAATTCGATTATTTGGAGAATATTGAAGACTGTGGAATTTTTGAATTTGATAATTTTCCTAAAAAAAGTAAAAAGAATTACTCCAGGAGTTTCTAAAAAAACCGAGTAAAAAATAAAAAAATGATTTATTATCTCGTCAATTAAATTTATAATTATAATTTTATTATTTATTCAAAATTGTTCAGGCAAAAATTTTGTAAACTTTACCCTTCTGTTTTCAAAATTAATTATTTAAAATTTTTTTTAGTAACAGTAATGCAGGCATTATTTTTATGACAGTCTCAACCCTGTAGAATGCAGAGAGCTTTTACTGAAGCAGATGAAGAGGAAACAGTAATATTTGTGTCGTTCAACGGCGCAGCGACAGCATAACGTACAGCGACGCGGGCGCGCCGTTTAGTTTGTTTTTAAATATCTTCTAAATTTATGGCCATCCCACTATGAAACATATATGTTTTTTTTGGAAAAAATGTCAGCTTTCCAATAAAAATAAAAAAAAAAAAATTTTTAAAATACCCATTTGGGTCAAAATTAAAAAATAAACTTTATTTTTTAAAAAAAGAGGGTTAAAAGTTTTTTTAAAAATTTTTTTGTAAAATTTTTAGAAAGTACATGAAAAATGCTTTAAATGCATTATAGAAACATTAAAATCGGTAAAGTATTATAAAAAATATATGGTTATGTATTATAAATATATGGTTATGGATACTGTTTTTCACATGGGATTCTGTTTAGGATTTGACTGGGAAAAACATGTGGGATTTGATATGGTTTTATGCATAGATAAACCGTTCAAATACCCCATGTCTATTCCTAACTAAAATCCTGTCTCAATTTCCCATATGGTTTGACATGGGAAACCACATGGTAAACCACGTGGTTTCCTTCATGGAAGTAGGGTTTTACATGGTTTTTGACATAGGATCCCATGTGGTTTCCCATGTGGTTTCCCATATGGGGATTTTCAATAGGGTTGGTTAAAATTCAGGTAATTTTATAACACTGAAGTTGGCTATCTCAATAGTCATGCAAAAATCTACTTGCATTTTAACCAACAAATTCGTTTTTTCAGCAGATTTTTTAAACTAAATTTAAACTGAAAAGTAGCTCGTTCTCCATCACGAAAATTTAATAGAGTGGAAAAGAAGGTCAAACTTAAATATTAAGACAAAAATTGGATTTTTTAGTCTTGCACCTGAGAGGAAATAAGTGATTAAAATCACTGAAAATCAAGAAACACTCAATATTAAAGGTAAAATTTTTCATATTTCTATATTATTTAAAATACTTTACATTAAATAGTAATAAATTTTTTTATATTTATAAACTTTTTAGAAAAATGTTATTAAAATGTAGTGACTTTTGACATTTCATAGGTAAATTTTAAAATCAATTTTTATCTATTATTTTGGGTATGTTTACATAATAATCTATTTATACAAGTAAATTAGCTCATTTTTAGCAACTATCAATCAAGAAATTTGCATTATCTAAAGTATTTCCATGCTTTTTTATTAAATTTTCATAACTGTCAATCTAACCTTTTTTCTGTGCAACTCAACTTAAAAATTATAATTCTAAGTTAAATTCAAAAAATTTTATAAAATAATTCTTAAAAATGAATTTTATGGATATTAAACATCATTTTTACAAATTATGAGATTTTATTAAAAATAGGCCGCAACGACTTTAGATGAAATATAATGGACTGACCCTACCCTAATTTTTGATAATTAATATTTAATTTTCAAATTCTTAAAAATCGGTCCGTTTTATTTGAAAATAAATTATTGCAAACGAAAGCTGAGGTTTTTTTCTATGGGCATGTAAATTTTCAGAATGTCCTTTTTTGTTTTTGAGGTATTAAATTTCAAAGAATAAATTGTGTCGCGGGCGCCTCGCCTCACGCCGGGTGCCACGCGGTTCAGTGCCACCGCGTCGCAGCGCGCTGCAATTTATTCTTTGAAATTTAATAACTCAGAAACAAAAAAAGGGCATTCTGAAAATTTACATGCCCATAGGAAAAAACCTCACCTTTCGTTTGCAATAATTTATTTTCAAGTAAAACGCACTGATTTTTAGGGAATTGAAAATTAAATATTAATTATCAAAAATTAGGGTAAATTCTTAAAATATTAAAAAATAAAATTTACCATTGGAAAGAGGACGAAAAAACCTTTCAGAAACATATTCTATAAAATTTTTCTAATTACAATTATGTTTAGAAAAAATTCACAAAGTAGCCGGTGTTGGCAAAATTGGTCAAATTGACCCCCCTCTACCCCCTCCAAATTTTCGAAAAAATTAAAAATATTTTTTTAGTCACATTTATACTTGATAGAACAACAAATTCCCCAAGTTTCAATATTTTTCAAGAAGTTGAAATTTCAACTTAGGACATTTCACGTAAAATGCCTCATATCTTTGTATTATAACCTGGACTACAATTTTTTTTTTAAATCTTTATAACTTTTTCATTTTGAAACCAATCAATTTACTTTGTACAGAAAAAATGTTTCTATTAAACAGGACTTTCCAACAATATACTTCAATTGACCACATTCATTTTTTTTAAAAAGTTATGAACAAAAGTCAAAAAGTGGGCCGACCTCGACTATGCTCCCCTAGTAATTTATAAAGGGCATAGCAGGATAAGTATGTGTTAGGTGCCTTGCTCGGATTTTCTTGAAATTTTTAGATACAGTAGGTATTAATTGGAGTAGTAGGGGAAAGGTGTACGAGATGATCCCCCTAAGGGAAAAAACCTATTATTCAAAGAAAAATCAACATATTCAAGTTTTTTTTGTACGCACTACTAGATAATTTATCTGTCTAACTATTCTGATTTGAAATATTTGCAGCCAATTAATATTTACTATTCAATATCAAATATCAATGTTAAATCTTAAATATACTTTATTTAGGTCATAAACGCTTTTGACCACTGACCACGATTCGTTTTCCTATTTTATAATTACGAGGCATTGTCTACAACGAGAAAATTAATAAAATAGATGTAGATGTCAACTTTTTGTTTTAGATAGGGAAGACTGGGGTAAACCCGCGCACAGGGTAAACCCGCTCACTAGCGATTTGACGCTATGAACTGTGAATAGTACTTAACATTCAACTTATATTAACGAACTTTCGTTTAGTTTCATGAATTCAACATAGAATCAGAGACGATCAAATGTTTTTAGAGGTGTCAGAAAAAAAACGTATTTTGGATTTTTAAGTTTTTCGATCATTATTTTTGAGTATTAATTTATCTGGCAAATTTTTTTTGTTGCCATTGGATGTCCTTCTTCGAAGTACATATATAGTTTTGTCTTATTTTAAAAAGATTTAATTAAATTTATTCTGAAATGTGAGGAATACACTCGGGGTAAAGCCGCTCACTTAGTTTTAAATTTAAAATTTAGAATAAAATAATTTCACGTATTATATTTCAACAATAACACAATTTATGACTTATTAAAACCAAAATTGTAACTACATTTCACTTTCTCTTAATAAAATATAACACTATTTAAATCCATAGTTGTAATTCATGAAATCTATGTTCATTATTTATTAAACCAATTTGTTGTTTATAGAATTGTTTATATATCTCATAAATTATCAATAATAAATCATACTTAAGACGGGAATAAGACGAACTTTAATATTTAAAAAATAAAACTGTTCCGTCTTGAAAAGATAAAGTGAACGGTTTTACCCTGGAAAATTGTGATTTCGAAATTTGGTATATGTTTATTAAAAAGTTTCTCTAAGTAAAACTAAAAAAGATAAATCAAAAACTCTTTTTTATTTTTTTAGTAGAAATCATAAGCTTTCAAATGATATAAATTAACTTGGATTTAGAGAATAATTTCCTAGATTTTAGCCGATCTGAAAAAAGTGAGCGGGTTTACCCCAGTCTCCTCTAAGTTAGTTTTCATGATAAAAACATATAAGAAGCGAACAAAATTGAATTTTTAATTAATACTAGAAAATTCACTTTGAGGTGAGACAAAATACATGGGAATCGGGAATCAGCTACTACAACAAAAGTTATTTAAGCCCAAAGTTAAGTTTTCCTTAGATCAAAAGTATGAAATTTTTATTTTTTCCAATAGAATTTTTTTAATGATGCGTGTTGTCATGACAGTTTGACTAATTCATAGGTATGTCATTGGCAACGTATTACCGTATTTGCCTAAAAGGTGGCGCTAATAGGCTCTCCAAAATTCAATAGGATCATCTTGCCCCAGGGGATCATCTCGTACACCTTTCCCCTAATTTCCCGAAGTACTATTGCATAAAAATAATTTTTATGGGAGTTATGGGGTTAACAAGAAAAATAAAAAAACATGATTTTCTCGAAAACAGCTAAACCGATATTTATGAAAGTTAAATATGTTATGGTTTTCGT